GGGGTGAGTTCAGAAATGAGACCGTGGGAGCTAGTCAGAATTTTTTTTCTGTTTTTCTAATTTCTGACTTTTTTTTCAAAAATTAACATGGGAGTCAATGGAGAAATGAGACCGGAAAACTTTTCTCGGTAAATTGACTCAGCCTTAACTACCGCACCAAGAGATGTCAGAGTGACGTGTGCGTAGGAAACAAACTCTAGTTTCACCAGATGTAAAAATCATGTCTGTTGGACTCCGTTTGTGGCTAGGAGAAGTGTTTAAACACAAAAAAAGTGGCTGGAAAAAAAAAAGCGGCACGAAAATGTACAGAAGCGGAAGAATAATAAGCCCGAGCAATAATAATATAGGGCTTTGCCCCATGCAATGCATTGGCACCCATACTTATAGGTCAGATGACTGAAAGGAAAATACAGTGCAAAATGCATATGTTGTGAAGACCATATGGGGTCTGAAGACCATGGGTCCATGAAGACCTTGTATGCAACCAGTGTGGAAAATAACCAAAGTGAAGATCTGAGTGCATTTTTTAAGATGGAAAAGTTGCTTATATTACTAGCACGACCATAGCCAGTGAGCGTATAATATAGCAAGCCACCACCAGTTATATTCATAATTTATCAGGGTTATCAGGGATATCAGGGTTTCAGAAATCTTTGATCTGAAAGGACACTGTTAATGTTGGGGCGAATTTTGGAGGTGAAGGCAGAACAAATCCATAAGCCAATAAGAATACTGCATTGTGGGAGGGGATGCTATTTCTGAGAACTGAAAGCATCCCGTAAAGGAGAGACCACTGTCTGTGGTCTGGAAGAGCAGGAGGAACCTGATAGATACCTTTTAATGATAATTTGACTGCCGGATTGGAATATAAACTGGTAAAGTAGGTTTAGGAGCCAGCTAGTATTGTTTGTAATGTTAAATTTGTTGCTATGGTCACATACGGGGATCTGAGTTACGTGGTAGTGGTACGTCAGCAGGTAGTAGTAAAATCAGCTGTTCCTCACCGGGTGAATGAAGGAACGAGAGGGTGAGGGGGGAAGTCCTACTTTGCTGACCACATAATATCAACCAAATGCACTGACTTGATATTTATTGGAGAATGGGAACATTTCACTGCTTGTTTCTAGCACTAAATAAATGTACACAAACCAGAAGTCTTTTGGATTGAAGTCTTATTGAACAGCAAGTGCGTCCGGCAGGTAAAGTTTTCCCCTACTTAGCCTCTTGGCGACTATACTGTAGCGAATTTGATAGTCGCTCTACAGTAGGGTTATAACATCTTGTGTTAAACTGAATCCCTGCTACTAGTCCATGAAAGTGTGAGTTTTAAAGTGCCAGACATCCATACAATAACAAAAGAAGGCACAGACTGTGTTTACCGATTCAAATATTTAATCAGTGCCAAAACATGGAAAGGAGGAAGTAGGGTCGAACTGGACAGATGCATTGAAATGTGTGGAAATTGAAGTGGGGGAGGGAATCCGCTTGTGTTGTAATGCCCGGGCACGTGAGATGCTGTAATAATGTTGTGAACGACCCTGACCACATGATGCTTCTCATGAACGGCATTATGCCCACACATGATGAGTGCTTTTTATTAATGATATTGACTACAGCTTGGTTGTTGCAAAGGACAGAGAGTGTTTGTATTTCTGGTACTGGCCCCAGACATATAGTGATATGCAATGGGATTGATCTTGAACAGAGTGAGTTACAATTTGGGAAGGAGGGGCCAGCAGCTTGCGAGCCACTGTCCTTGAAAAATCAGAATCGGAGGGATGCACCAGCTCTTTGTAGAAGAAAGTGACGTCACTCCAGTGATCATGCAGATGGTACCGGAAATGTTGGTTGTCATGTCCAATACACAGGAAATGAAGGAGCGCCATGAGGGATGACTTGCATTGAGAAGAAAATGTGCTGAGGAGGAGACCAGATGCTGCTTTGTAATGTTTTAACTGCATGGAGGATTTTGTGATGATTTTTTTCATCTGACAGAAGGACAACAAGGTATTGAAAGAGTTTAATTTGGAGAGGGATGCACCTGAGCTGAGGGTAATCTATTAGGAGGAAATCATCCAGCAGACTGACAAAGTGACTGGTATGAACGTTGCGGATGCAGCAAAATTTTAAGAAAATGGCAGTTGGTATGTAGCCGCTTTTGGATTCAAAAGATTTCAAATTGGAAAGTTGTTGAATTGATGCACCTGGCAGCCTGTCAGTGTGCTGAGGAAACAGAGAGGGGATCGGTTTGAGACGTGAAATATCACTGAGGGATAGAGATGTGTGACCTGCCGCAGGAATTACACGAAAGAATTTGAGAGCCTCTGTGATAATTGTGTGTAATTCTTTGCTGGAAAAGGCTTTGTTATACTGATGAAATATGTTTCTTTCGCATCTCAGATTAAGATTGCCGAGTGTTGATGTTCTGCATGGTGAGGACCAGGGACTGTGTGGTGGTTGTCAGAATATTATCTGAAGCTGAAGTGGATGCAGGAGCACTGGAGAGGGACGATATGTCACTTATCTTTTGTTGGAAGAAGCCGCTTTGTTGGTCGTTTGCCGCTACAAACAGACGCAGTGGGGGGGCCAGCTGGAGTGGCTGGATCATGCTCGATCGGTGATCAGGTAGAATCGATGAACAGTTGCTTGAACTGCTGGCAGGCCTGGAACTGGCATAATGCACTGATGTTGCAGCTGAGCAATGAGTAAATCAGCCTTGTCTGGGAGATTTGTTGTGTTCACTCGGTGAAGGCTCCTGCACCGACCACCAGATGGATTGAAGGTGGACTCTTGGAGGATATCGATGCTGGGTCCGAAATCTCCTGGGGATAATCATTGTCAGACTCCAACATCAAGTAAAAACGATGTGAAAATAAGCAAGGTGAGCGAAAGATTTGCCTTATGTGCATCACTAAATGATGACTGACGAAGAAAGGAGAAGTGATTTAAAGTTTGACAGCAGCCGCATGATTGACTGAAAGAGACTGAGGCAGAATCTGATTGGCCATTTAGAAATGCCCATAATCCGCTGATTAATAGAGACACTGAGCGATTTCAGATTGATTGAGTGGGGCTAGTCTTCCTGACTGAACTTATGCTGAGTTTCATAACAACATTGCTGATTCATTGTATTGAATCTCATTTCTGAAATTCAGACTGTGAGAGTGAAAATCCTCATTCATGTCTCCCAAGAAGCCATCCTTAACAGCCTTGCCCCCTCTCTAGGTGCCATGTCTATATGCAGTTTTATCACTCACACTATATTCTATTCAAAACATCAGGTCTACCTATCTGGCCAGAATCAACTTTGTCAACTTGGCCACTGTCAACAATTAACTTTCCATTTCTCATTCCCAAGTGACAATGTTGATCAAAGGCCTGTGGAAACAGGAATGCATTCTCACTGCTAAACGCTTGCCACTTACCTCAGACCTTCTCAGCCTCTGGCATCTGCTCTCTTCGTTCAGGCTATACTGTATATCCCCTGCAGTTGACTTAACCTTAGAGGTCCTTGACCACTGGTCATCACAAGCATATCATTCCTACATCCGCAACAACCTCAACAATATCCGCCAAGCCCAAAATCAACTCAGCCCAATTCAAATCTGGTCCAACACCAGCTAGGGCAGAAATGTGCCTGAGACAGAACCCCCACACCGACTATCCATCCGCCGAGTCCACAGCATATCCTCACAGACAAGCCCAACAGAGCCATTCTTTATCGATATTTTCGTCCTTGCCCTTCACACACATTAATCCATCTGTAATCCAAAATTGCTGCCTGAATTTCTATTGAAAGATTCAAGGGTGGGTTTGAGTATTCTTGGATGATATTTTCTCTGCTGGAAATGAGGTTGTTACAAAGGATTGTATTGCTTTAGGTAAGTCTGTATGGGTTTGTATTTGAACTGGATAGACCTGTCTCTGTGTGTCTGTCATTTATCCCCTGGTGGTGCAGAAGTTGATTATGGCAGTGCAGTCAGAAGACACCACCAGCCTCTTTGGGAGAAAAACCTGAAGGTGCTCCAACTGTCCAAGCTGATCAGTGTCCTCAGACTGCCTCCAAACGCTGAGGCCTGCCCTATGGTGAGGTCATAATCTTTACATATTTATAGTCTGTTTGCAATCTTTCCATGTCGCAATAATGGTTAAATAAATACTACAAGATCCTATTTTTGCTGCTTGCAGGAGAATATGTCTGCATTTTGTGTGGAAACACAAGACAGAACATTGGTGTTTGCTGCACTGAAGGACGACTGTGTGGACTGGGTCAAAAAACTGTGTCACAGCATGTTTCAGGTGAGATGGAACAGAAATGTTTTTGTTACATTGTCACATTGTGACAAGTGTCTTAAACCTTAATCTAACCTTAATCTTTGGACCACAAATTAAATTAAATGATATGATCATAGCACCAAATCACAATATACATTATCTTAAGGCACAGTAAGGTTGAGACCTTATAAATTGTAGAGATACCCAACAGTTCCCGCAATGAACATGCACCTTGGCTACTGTGAAGAGCAAAAACTCCCACATTAACTGGAAGAAACCTTGAGCAGAACCATACTCAATGTAGGTGGCCATCCAGCAGAAAAATGGGTAACAGAGGAGAGGTAGGTGGCAAAGAGGGGGGAGCGGGAGACACCAGGAACAGTTGTGTGCGTTATGTTTCAGCTCTGTATGACTGGTTGTTATAATGAGAATAATAAGAGTGATAATTATATATGTTAATGATAGCAGCACCAGTTAATATAATAATAACAATAATAATGATGATGTTGATAAATAACTGTCATTGAAATAGAATACAAAATGTAATAATTCAATAAAAGAATAGATCTATGTTTTTAAAAATGCAGTCAGTTATTTAATTATTTTAAACAAATTCAACGAGTTCATAAATAAATAATGGAATTTTAAAATCTAAAATAAGGAATTACTTTCTAATTTAATGTATTTAATAATAGAGTCATAAATTAACTATATACAATAATGCATATTTTCCCTAATTGGTTGTTAACTACTGAATTGCTTTATTATTATTTCTGAGACACTTCCATATTCTAGTATATTTGTAATATCAGTTTTTATACAATGCCTGGTGTCCATGCATTATATTCTCTCAGGGAGGAGGTCGCTCAGGCTCAAATCAGCTTCATTTGGAGGAGAACCAGATGTATGCCTCATCAGATGAAGGTGAATCTTCTACCTCATTGATTTTCCTTTCTTTTTTTCCCACCATTTGATTAACTGTATGGAGCTAATTTCCTGCCAGAACTTAAACAAACTAAACAAGTTTTACAAATTCCCTATGATTCACTTGCACACACGGCGTGGTTTTGGATAAACAAATACACTGCATATTTCTAACAAATAATGCTTCAGAAAACAAATGCCTTCTGCATTTAATAAAAGCACAGAAAAAGAATTCCCACAAGTTCTAGACTTACTTATTTTATGTGCATAGTGATAACAGAGAAAATTCTCCTGCTTTGCAGAATTCTGGGTTCTAGTTCAGAGGACAGATGCAGCAACACGTGGTGGTCTACAGGGGTTCCACTGGCTGCACGTGGGACAGGAGTCTCTGCAGCTGAGAGAAACACAGATGAAGAAACTTGTCAGGGAGTGGCCTTATGAACTGCTGAGACGATATGGAAAAGTTAAGGTATCATTGACAATCATAATGTATCCATTTACTGATTACAAGGATTATTAACAGACTGTTTCATTGTATTTCTTTTTGAAGTGCTGCTGGTCAGAACATGCTTTATGTTCTTCTGTGTCTTCTCCCACCAGCTGGCTTTAACCATTGAAGCAGGCAGACGCTGTGACTCTGGTCCTGGAACATTCACCTTTGAGACACCGCAGGCTGAGAAAATATTTTTCCTGATCCAGAGCACCATCAAACGAAAGACTTTAGCTATTACAACAGGTTACCAAAATCAAGAGGGTAAGAGAGTTATCACAACAACCAAACAGACCAATTCCCCTCTCCACAAAATACCTGATACGACCGGTATGGCTGATATTGTGGAGAGGGACCTGAGGACAGAGGAGGGGAAATGTGCAGCTCCAGAAGAGAGTGCTCATATTCAAGGAGAACTGGTTCCACATTCAGAATGTGTATCAGCCCAGCCAGCTCCTAAAACCCTCATGCCTCTGCCATTGGTTCCCACAAATGACAGCCCCTTTGGAGGTCATCACAGTGGCCAATTAGACCCTATATATGCTGACCCAACAGAATACAACCAGTTTGTATCAAAACCACAACTTTCCTTGGCTCTGTATGTGGACCCTGCAATTGTTCTTCCACTCAAACCCCCCACTTCAAGAGCAACTGTTGCTCCCCTTCCTAGCTCCTCAATGTCACATCCTTGCTTTGACATGGATAACCCAGATTCAGTCTACTCAGAGGTTTTCGACAGAGTCAGTCCAGTCCAGAGTAAACATCTCATCATCAACAGCAAAGAAAAAACAAAGTGTTTTACAGATGATGAACCCATCTATACTGAGCCTTTGAATGAGAAGGAGAAGGTCTTCCGTAATACTGAAAACATACATGACCCTTTTGCCCACCTTTATGCTCAAGTCTGCAAGTCACCTTCTCCCTCAACCCCCTCTAACACCACCCCTCCCTGCTCTACTCCCTCTTCTTCTGTTACTGGCAACACAAATGACATGGACCAGTCAATTGATAATGTCATCATTTGGTAATCCTTTTCTGACTTAATATCAACAAACCAAAAAATGTCTGGGAACTCTGATAAGTTTCCCCTTCTCATAGAGAAAGAGATACACTGTATGAATGTGTGTGTGTGTGAATGGATGATGTAAAACTGTACCGTAAAGCTTTTTGAGTTTTCTTCAGGGCAAGAGGGCACTATATAAATGCTGACCATTTTTCATTGTGACACAAGATTTTGTGATTTATAACTTAACGAGAAGTATTGTAATTATTACTGTATTACTGAATTACTATGTTAATGTGTGTCAATCTTGGATGTAACCTGTATTTCAAATGTATTGCACATACCCTAAATATTTACTGACCAGATGTCTTTGCTTTCATCCTTATTAAGAATAATGGATGTTGGATAAGAGTGGTTAGCATGAGTCTATTTGAGTCCGTTTTCAATACATTAAATAGGGAAGTGGTGTGAGTATAGTATATTTCTGACAGGATATTTTGCTTTTGAATGCATGAGTAAGATGCTTGTTAGACATATTTAGAGTTGTAGAATAATACCTGTTGGTACCTGGTATCTGTGAACCATAGTTGGGCCTACATGTGTAGTCAAAAGCCTGACCACGTTTCCTTTGTTCTGGAGACAAAGGAGAGCTTCCAGAACTCAGTCTCCCAGGGTTCTTCATCTTCACACATAGGTGGTAAAACTGCTCCTGGAGACAACTCTCAACCATTATTGGTCACTGTGTACCCCATGACCCATGAGGTCATCAGGCCAATTTAGCCGAGTTTCCCCTCTGCTAGTTTCTCATTCCTCTTCACTCGTCGCCCTTCTCTCATCGGCCTCTTCCYCTGCCGACCTCTCCTGGAGGAGTAGGGTCTGGCCCTGCTCTCCCAGCCAGGGAGACTTCCTCCATCCACAAGCTCCTCAACTTCCAGCAGGCCTGCCTGGAGCAGAC